ATGGAGCAACATGGCAGCTCTGGTGGGCGGCCAGGGATCCGGTGGTGGCGAAACGGTTCAGGTGGGGGACTGTGGACCTGGCAGCGTCGACGCTGCAATTCTGGTGTCCAACCACGGGTCCAGTGGCGCCAGAGGGACCTGGCTGAGCGGGTCCCTCCGGTGGCGCCACAGCTGCAGACGGTTGAGCTGATGGTGATGGTGGTGTAGCAGCCACTGGCGGTAGATTGGGCGATGATACAGCAGCAACAGGTGAAGTGATGGTGGTGTGGTTATAGCACGCAGTGAAGCTGGCGGCTCATTGTGAAACCTAACCCCACCCTGTCATGTGATTTCCTGAGGTCAAGAAAGGTTTCACAGAAATGAAGAAGCTTCTTGGATGAGAGGTGAAACGTCTTCAAGCAACTTATAGAAGTCCAGACGCTTTTCTTTCCAAGCTCCTTAGACTACGAATACCTGGATGACTGAGAACCTTCACAGACAACGAGGCTTGATCCAATCTAGGTATGTGTGATGATCTTCAGGTGTGGCTAGCCAGCTGGCAGGGCCACACCCACCAGGCCTAAAGGTGCCTTTCACAGCCGCACCCATACACGCACACACACCTGCCTATACACACAAGCATGGACACAAGAACAGCAGCACAGTGCAGAACAACACATAATATAAAATTAGTCTGCAACTGTTCATGGACCCTGGGTCACTCAGACCCAGGTCACTGACAGAGGTATTCACTGAGCATGACATTCCTGCTCATACATGCTTGGAACAATCTTGTCACTGAAGTGGATGCGCAATGGGATATCATAGAGTGGCTCAAGCACGTTCATCATATGTTTAAACCTCTTGTTTTGCACAACTGAATATAAATAAGCCTCATGTCTGCAGCTATAAACACCCCAATAGCTTTTGTAATGGCTTTAGCCCGGTCAGACTGGGCAGCAAGGGTTGCTTAAATGCCGCAAATGCCTCTGCTCCTCAACTTGGACCGCTAATGCTGGCCATGACTATCGCTTGACAGACTGACCACACGCACCATAAACATACTTTTTTTTTTCTTTCTCAAATCTTCGGATCACGTTTGTGCCAAACCGTGGGGTGGGATCGGTTCGGATCACGAATCAACAGTAATACGTTGCACCACTAGTTCTAGGCATTACCAGGATCCATGTGTGGGGCACTGAGTCATAGGCGTTCTTGTAGTCAATACAGGTTGGTCAGCCTAGTCTTGCAGTCTCAGCTAACTGCTCAGTCTAAAAATAGCTGGTGTTTTGCGCCTCTGGTATTCTTGCCAATTCCTTTCTGTGCCCCACTCCTGTATTGAGCTATATGCCTGTCCATCTTAGCCTCTATGATGCCTGACAGGAGCTTCCATGTGATACTCAGGCAGGTTATTGGCTGGTAGTTGAATGGGACCATACCGGTCCTTGAGGATCAGGAGTGTCTGGCTTTGGTTAGCCATCTCTCGTGGACTAGCAGCTGGTTCATTTGTGCTGCCAGACGCTCATGAAGTGCAGTCAGCTTCTTCAGCCAGTAGGCGTGAACCATGTCAGAGCCTGGTGCTGTCCAACTCTTCATACTCGAGACCCTTTCATGGATGTCTGCCACTGTGATGGTTATTGGTAACTGTTCCCATATGCTCTTCCACCATTTCAGAAATTTGTAGGTGTGTTTTTTTGTTTGTTTGGCTGGTTTTTTTTTTGTACTACTTGAACACTAAAGTGCCCCTCAAACGAGATGACAGTGCCAGCTGTTGCCCACAGCACATTTAAGTTTGTAATGGAATCCTGGCTCCATCGGCAAATCCTCAATGCCTGGGTGGAGCTACTGGGCAAAACATTACACCGTCAGGACTTCAGTAATGACTCTGATGAGGGAACGGGGGGTGGGCTCTGTGCTATTTAGTTATTCGGGCATGTGTGTGAATTGCAGAGTGAG